TTGACAATATGTATGTAGGTGTTACACGAATATTCAGTGTTTACCTGCTGTGGATAGCCCTGCACAGAGACATGTTGCTCCCACTTCAAGATCAGAAAAAATACTGCAAAGGTCCCTTGCTTCGGCTTCCCAGGTCACAGGTCTGAGAAGGGTCTCACTAGTCTTTTTATATCTTCTTCCAATTCGCAGCTGTCCGCACTGACCTCGGTCAAGAGCCTGTGGGCAATAAGAAGCCGTGCAAAAATGCTGCTTGTGCTGTGTTCACTTGCGATTGGTGAGCTTGAGGCTGAAGGGTACAGGACCGGTTCTCCGTCTATGGGGCCATCAGGGATACTAGCCCTGCAAACCACGAAAGTTTCTAAAGATTTATATATACACCGTTTTTTCTTGATCAAGACACGCGATGATTTGTCAAGTGATGAAAGGTCACACGATTATGCCTAATGTGGAGATTGGGATGTGGTGGAGTGTATTGTGGGTGTTTGCAAGGCGGGGAAGTGCAGAGCGGTGATTTGTGCTGTGAAACCTCTATTGACTTGCTGCTCTAGACTCTAGATATATACTCTTCTGTAGAAATCACAAGTTCTGGATGTTTTTCTCCAGATATCATTTGTATCTGGCTTTTGGAAGGTGTTTCTAGAAGTACGTTTTCGATACGTTTCCCTAGGAATCTCTACTTTTGAATATTTGATATTGCCTTAGAATTCCCTACAGTACTTTCCCTAAACAGGTCTGCCTATGAGGGGTTCTTGCTCCTTTGAAAGTGTGCTTTTGCTGGTTGTCGGATTTTCTCCATTTGTTTTTGGCTGTCTTTAGGTGTGCTGGATTGCGTGGGTCACCCCTTTTGCTTCTTCTTGATTTTCTGTTACTGTACATTCTTCTAGCAACCTTACTTGTGGAGACTGTTTCTTTTGGTAGAAATCGTCACTTTTGGATACAGTAGATTCTTTAGGCAACTCTACTTCTGGACACTTCTGTCTAGAAGTCTGCTCTGGAGATAGTTTTCTCAAGACATTTGATTTTTGGGTACTTCTATGTTTGGGAAATTGACTTTATTGAGTCCATCTCTCTCAAAATCTCAACTTCATCATACATTCCCAGGAATCTCTACTTTGTTACTTTTCTCAACATTTTTTTCTCTATGTACTGTAGAACCATCTGTTTTTAGGACACTGGATACTATCTCTACGTTTTTGGATACATGTCTGTAGAAATTTATTTGTTGGGACCTTTTGCTGTTTCTTTTCTTTAGTTTTGACACTCTTCTTTAGAGATCTGGATGTTGGACATTGGATGCTTGTCTCTGAAAAACTCTACTACCGCAGCCCCTGACACGGGTTCTGAATTCTCCGATTCCATTTCCAAATGTCAGCTGAACTCTGAACACAGTATATATGCAACGCGCACACAGAAAACATCCAAGAAGCTGTCGCTTTACAAGACTTTTATACTCATGATAGTTCTCTTGCATCACAGTCACAATCGCGCAGAAACTGACGGCATGTTTCCGCAATTGGAACTTTCTTTTCTCACCCGTCTACAGACGGGGAAACTGGCGAATCCTTGATGAAGAGCTTCCATAGGCTTAACTGATCTTAACTGCCCGAACACAGCTGTGCCCAAAAACACACGCGGTATGAACACTACTTTGACAATATCTCCTGAGCAGTTTCTTGATTTTGCAAATTTTGCAAATTTGGCTGAAGCCCACCAGAGGTTGCAGTAAATCTTGAAGTCCATTTCTTTCAGCATTGTAAAGCAGTGTGCCGTGGACTTCAGAGGCGATAATTCAAACGCCACAGCCGCCACAGCTTAAAACCGCAGCATGTTGAGGCACCACCACGGTTTGCAAGGTAGAAGTCAAGACAGAAAAGACCCAAGTGATGAAAGCCAAGCAAACGAAGTCCGCATGGTGCAAGTCCTTCCTAGGATGCTGACTTGAGGCTAGCGGCTAGAGGGTTAGGAGGCACTTCATGGCACATCATGCGTCATCCACTCATTGGTCTATTGTGCACGTGCGGCCATGGAAAAGACGGATGCCGATGTGTTCTTCAGGGACACTTTGCCTCGTGCGCGTTGCAAATGTAGGTCAAGTGTACCAGTCCGGTAGTACCTGTACCCTAGAGGATGAATTCGCAAACCCTTCAAGTTCAAGGTTTCAGACAAAGGACTATCAATTTGGCTGTCATGATGTTGTGGTCATGACGTGACTGGCTAACTGGCTCTTAGGAACATCAGCAACCTCCGCCCTCTTTGCATGACATGACATGGCAACATTGGATTCACATCCCGGGTCTTGTATTCCCGTGTGTTGCCGAAGGACACTGTAAAACTGAAGCCGCCTGATTTAGACGCGAGCGGTGCTCAGAAAGTGACGAGTTGGTAGTTCTAAAGAACGCCATTGTAAGTGTCGAATCCAATATAAGTTCTCCAGATGCTCCAGCAGCATCAATAATCAATAATCAAACCGAAAGGGAACCAAGTAACATTTGTCAACCAGACTGTCATTTACACATGGTGCAACTCAATCTGAGTGCTGCGGGCAACTGCCAAGCTACTTTATCCAGCCGTGCCTGCGAGGCAGCGGCAAGCAATTGCTGACTTCATAGTCAAGGTGCAACATTTTAGGTCTCCACTAGTTCCAGCACGTGCTGCTGCCGGTGTCTCTTGGACTACTTGCATGTTCAAGTCGCTGAGTGTGTTGAGTCATAAGCTGTCATTGGTTTGAAAGGAGATGCTTTGTGCATAGGTTGTCAGCTTGTTTTGTCGGCGAATTCTCACGCTTGCCGAAAACGGTCTGGGTTTTAATTCTGCCCTGCAGGGTTGTTTCTTCCGCCCCGGCCACAGCATGGTGGAACCCAACGGGGACGTTCTGGTTTCATTTCCACTTCCACTTGTTAGTTGTGCACCCCTTCTGCCCTGCAGGGTTTCTTTTCTGCCCTACACAGGCTCGCTCAAAGGACCTGCGCGTAGCGTTGATCACCTCTGGAGGCGCAGGGACTGAAAAGAAAAGCCTAGATTCTTGCTATTTATGTGGTATTGGAAGGGCAGATGTTTTTCTTGTATCTTGATCTTGATTCCGAATTCCCAATCAAATTTGTTGAACCTGGAGACCTGGAGAAACACAGATGAATCTGGTACAAACAGATGAATCTGGACAAGTGAACTGGACGTTGATACAGTTTGGCTTATCGTAACTTTTGGGGTTCCAGCAGCCAGGCACCACAGTGCCCCTGGAAGTGAATACAGTTCGTTTCATCGATAACTTCTCCACGGGTACCAGAGGAGCTCTCTGTACCCAGGACGAAATGCGTTTTGTTTGCTTCGTTCTCTTTAGGATTTCCCTTAGATTTGTGGCCGTAGGTAGGCTTGAGCATTAAGTTGAATAGTTCGAAAAGGTAAGCTCGGAAATGAATTAGATGTCCATCACTGGTGCTTGGCGTGCTCCCAAACTTCCTGAAAGGCGTACTCACAAAGCAGCTACCATGATTGAAATTGTGTTTCCGTTGTTGGCATCCACGCGAGAGAACGTTTTCATCAGGAGTTTCTTGAAGCTGGCTACGCAGTGATATTCCTACATCGTAAAGGCATGATGGAATGGCTGGTTTGGAACAAGAGCACCTTTTTGCTAGGTGTCACGGAAACCTCCTGAAGCCAAGGGAACAACGACCTACATAAGACATTTGGCATTGAACTGTCAGCGAAGATACACTCAAGGCCACTTGTTCGAGGCAGCAATATAGCACAACAGTTTTTTCTTATGAATCGTTTCGACGAGAGCCACAAGATTGTTTGCTAGAACCCAGAATCACATGAAACTATTGGTTTGTCGCTCGAAGAGTTATCCAAAGTCAGTGCTTCTTCTGTTTAGGTTTCGATGTCAAGCAATAAAATTGTTTCAAGTGCAGTGTTCGACATTCCCTTGTCATGTTGTGTCCATCCATTTCTCATCAAGTTGTCTCTGTTATCAAGCTGATGGCTACTGCAAAATCATGTATTGCACCAATCAAGCTAATGCAGCACATATGCACACAAGAGAAAAGTGACTGTTTGACAATTCGAATTTGCAGACAAACAGACTCGGTATCTTTCAGGATGTGGTTTGGTCCATCATCAACTTCTTCTTGACCTGAATCCTTCCGATTAGTTGCAAAAAGGCTTAGCATTTTCTAAACCGCTTGGGCATCAAAAATCTATGAGTTAGGCAACAAGCCTTCGCCCATGGCAGCTGATCCGCCAGTTGAGCGCAGAGTAAACCCATACGACAAGCCGCTCGGTTTTTGATTCGGTACATCCGGTAGCAGTGTCCAGACTTTGTCAACATGCGCCCAAATGCAGACGCAGGTCCGAGGGCAGCCAATAGTTACTCAGCACGGACACTTTTTCACATTGCCTCGATCACAGCCTAACTCCAGTCACAGAATATCAAGAAAACTACTGGCAAGTCTTTGTTGGTTGCTTCAGGTGCGCGTACACATTCCAAGAACTGAAAGAGTTCTACAAGGCAAGGTGACTCGAGTGTTTGCTCGCAGTTGCATTCGTGTAGGACTCCGTAGGACTGACCGAATTGTCGAATCTCAGTTGTTCACCTTGTTTGCCATGCCCAGGCTGCCTAACCACCTGTCCTAGAGTCCAGATTTCAATAGATTTCAGACCCGCTAGGATGCTACTGACTAATGACTTGTAGGATCATGATGATGATGGTGATGGTGATGGTGATCGTGATGACAG